CCTTAAAAATGACTACTAGAAGAAAACATAAAATATGTCATTTACCACAGTACTTGAAGTTCATTTTCATGGATGTATGAATAAAGTTCTTCAATAATTCATTGAATTATTACCAAAAAAAAATACATAAAATGTGTCATTACTCTATTACTGGTAGTTCATTTCATAAAATTTAATGTATTAAATGTAGTTCTTCAATAATTTATTATTGAATTACATTGCCACTCTGTTTCAATGCTCATGTTGGGGACCAAGTTCTGATTTATAATGCTCACATTACCCCACCCACTTCTGATACATAAAATGCTAATGGATTTTTTACTTTCCAATCCATGGATTCGGCGCGGACGCCAACTAGTCTATGTTAACCACACAGCTATGCTGTCACTCATTGTTTAAATATTTCACTTACACTATTATGAAGACAAAATGTTTCAAATGTATCACATACTGGTTACCTGCTGTTTGCTTGTTTAACTAGTAGTTATTTTGCAAGTTTCCATAAAAATAATAAGACTGAAAAATGAACATGTCCATTAAAGAGATTTTGCATCATCCTGACAAATCTGTGCACAGTTTATAGAAATGTGTATCAATAGATTTGACAAAAACTGTGAAATGATGAAATCCTTTTCTGATCTTTTCTGATCAAAGTATGATGCCTAAAATTTACTGTTATAAAACTGCTGTTAATGTATAAATTTGTCATTACTCAAGATCAATCTAAAGCTGAAATAACATCATTAAAGTCAATCTTAGAAAACATTGATGTTTATTGTAACTATATTTGCCTGAATAAACTGGCTGAGAGTTCGGCAAATAAACCATTGTTATTTCATTTAATCTCAGAAACAATACTTGAAGAATATCTCAAACATTTTATACAAATTACAATGAAAATACTGTGGATTTCAATAAAGTTTACAGATTTTCTGTCTAAATTGACAGTTAATTGCTTTATTTCTTTCCTTTCACATACTTGTTTCTAATAAAGAAAATGAAAAGGTCACATATTTCATCCTGTTGCCTTGCAGAATTATGATATGTTATCCCTGAAGTAAAAAAAATCCACTGAGGTCCAAAAGCAAGAAAGCATATAATTTGAGCCGTGTCATGACAAAACCAACATAGTGCATTTGGGACCAGTATGGATCCAGACCAGCCTGCGCATTCACGCAGGCTGGTCTGGATCCATGCTGGTCGCAAATGCACTATGTTGGTTTTGTCATGACACGGCTCAATTTTGAATTTCTTACATAGATCAGCTGGAGCACTAATAAAACAAAAAGAAATGCAAAAGATAACTGAGAAATATTTACTCAGAAATAAATCTGAAAAATAGTATTTTTCTTGTATTTTTCTTAGCCTGCTTTTTTCAACTTTGGGTCATTTTTCACAATTATAATAATTATTCTGGAAAAACAGTGAGTGAATGATCTTTAAATTTTGCACATAAGTTATTGGTCTAGACGTACATCAAATGGAACATTAATCTTGATAAATTATTTCCAGGGCCGACATGTCAAAAAATATCAGTGGAGTCCCTTTAATAAACTAACCCTGCCTAAATTTGGAAAGTCCATTATTAGTTTATAAGTTATCAAACCCTTATCACGCTAAATATCTTAAATGGACTTGTCTATCTTCCAATCTTGGTAAGACCATTCATCAGTTTTAGGTAAAATTTTAAAAGGTATAGCACCAGAATAGCAAACAGTGCAGACCTAGATCAGCTGGCCAAACTATGGTAAACGGCTGAGTGGTTAACAAGTCAGACTAGTAATTTAATGATCACTAGCTGTGTCAGGTTCGAAGCCTGTCAGCTGCAAGCAGTTGTTTCTTTGACTGTTTGGTCGAAAGTGCATATCTAAAGGTTTATACTTTTTTACACATTCAAAGTAAAACAAGTTCTGTATAAACCAACCATGGAATGTTTGTAAGCTATGGAACTAGCATGAGGTACAATCATCTCCAAACCCACAACTCATTGTGTTAGGGAGCATTTATAATCCAATATTCAGCTGTGAGACACTCTTTGTGTCTATAAACATTTTTTTTTCGGCGTAGCTGTATTAAAATGGATTTTGACCTAGATTTGTAACAAATGAAATTGTTAGTTACAAAATCTTCAGCTAAAAGAGGGTGTTTTTCATTGGTGGAAAGACTGGCTGTTATGAAATTTAAGGACAAATTCGTAATCTTTAGTTTACTTGTCTCTAAGAATAAAGTTGTATTAAAAATATTTATACAATCGTAAACTAAATATCACAACGTTATGACCAAAACAAAGATATATCAAAATACAAAAAAATACAGTACATATGATTCCATGTACAATTTATTTTGTTGATAATATTAACAACAAACCCAACTTTTTGTTTTTCAGCCTTTACTTAAACATTCGATTACTACTCACTCGTACTTTATTTGCCGTAGCTTTTCTGTTTTCTATGAAAATGAACGATATTTTTGATCAACAAAAAGATTCTCCAGAGCTGATATGAATTGCGAAAATTAATATATTTAAATTGCAACATTATCATAAAGAATCGCAAAACTTTAAGTATTATTTTTTGTGCGTAATAATAACAAAATAATTTATTCATAGTTATTCGGCGTTTGTTTACACCGGTAGGTAAATTTACCGAAATACACCCCAATTGACTACCACAATCTGAAACTGTCTCACTTGATAATCAGTGTCATTGATGGGTTATACAAAATTGAGTTTAGTACTTATTATAAGATAAATAGATATATTTCTGTATATATGGAACAACATCCACATTTAAAGTACATTGTAAAATATAACCTGTGTAGGTGTACGACACGTAGCCATGCCAGTAGGCTTAACTAGTACCTCCACCTCATACCCCTAGTATATACAAAATACTAGTCAAGCTGTGCAATTTTTAATAGAAATCCTTTTTTTATAAAATACATTATTATAACTTTTACTAGTAAGGTTATGTTTAACTTTTGATTTAAGTCTTCAATTATTCATTTTCATTGCCAGATAGATAAGAAGGCATTATAAATAGTATAGTTCAGAGTTGATATGTTCCATTGATTGTTTATTACAGTTTGTATTCTTTCATAAATAAAAGATATAAACAACAAAAGATTTTGGTGTTATTATCATGACCTAATAATTGCAGCATTTTATGCACAGAAGTGCTTTTACAAAATGAAGGTCAGATACATATAAGTTAATATTATTTAACAATAAAATTCAAGTTGTCAGCTGATTGTGGCCTTTGCAGTCTCTAAATTTGGTAGTGTGGTTGGTTATTATCTGGTATTGACTTTGAAACCAGTAGTCAAAAGTCACGGTGACAAAAAAGCTTCTAGCATCTATAATAACATGACTAATTTGTTGACATTATAGGAGCATACATGTTTCAGCTAAGTTTAGACAACTGTCATAGATAATACTAGTAACCACCAAATATATTTCAATTTAGACATTTATATTGTTATAAAGTATCAATATCATTAATTTTGAAAATATTCTAAAGCTATGAGACATTTTGCACTGAATTTACGCCGATTATCTTTTTTAAAGATATTTCTTGTTAGAAATGATAATAAAGAATACACTGTGATTTTATAGACTTTTGAAAGTTTAATGGTATATTTTGCCACACACTTTGCTTGTAATAAGCCCTTTACTAAAACTCTTTGAATGTTTTCAAGACTTTGACATTCAAGTCTGTTCACAGTTGGAGGTAAATATTAAATTGTCTGTCACACAGATGTGACTTTAGTCTGGTTTACAGTCACCGATCAATCAGTACTGCTAAACAATTTATAGAAGCAATCAACACTAAGAGTTATATAAAATAATAGCAACATTTAGATTCACTATAAAATATATAATGTGTACAGATAACCATTTTTTTTAGTGAAGCACATCTCCAGAATCATGTTAAAATTTATTTTATTCAAATTTATTATCATTATTTTTTTTTTCAGTTGTATTCTAAATCGCATGAACACTTTTATGGTCATATTGCTACTTTCCATCCTTACTGGTGGAAGAATACCTCAGATGCCCCTTTATTTTAAACACAAACAATAGAACCATAGATGTTCCGTAAGCAAGCTGGACTAAGCATCCTCACATGAAAGAATCCAAAGTCCCTGGTGGGATTCGAACCCACAGTGGTTAGTGGCAAGTGGTTTGAATTTATAAATTGAATGTTAATTAAGTGTACATAATAAGTACTTAGTACATATAAGAAGGCCTGTAATTGGAAATTTTAGTACTTTTTCTAACAAATATGGGGAAAAAATTAAACTATTGAGCAGAGAAAATTCATAAACTTTGAGAACGATTCATGAGAATCATGATTGAAATAAATTGCTGGAAAAAAACACAAGAAAAAACAAATTGGAGGTCACCATTCTACCATTTGAGTTATTTGCCCAAAAAGTATTTTGCTCTTTTAGGCCATTTTCAAGGGGTAGATAACTCAAAACTGTGGCAAGCAGAAACACTTGTATTTGTTTAAGTTAATTGTTTATTACCGGTCATGGAGTAACCTTTGCTGAAACTCTATGTGATAGATTTTATTCTACTGCTGCTTATGCGGAATGATAAAAATTTTCTTCAAGTTTATAAGGCCCCTTGTTGAAGAAAAAAAATGCAGCTCCTTAAACTATATGAAGCATAGCAAAATACATGTTTTAGAAAGAATTGTTTGAAACTTTGCATAATGACTGAAAATGCAAAGAATGAAAATGAAATTGTCAAAAAGTATTGGTATATATCTTCTCCAGATACTACTTAAGTTTTTGAAATTATAAACAAGAAAGACACAAGAACTGTTTGCAAGTTGTAAGTAACAGCATGCACATCCATGAACTCTGATGTGGCCTTAAATATAAAGGTGACGGCTTTCAAATTTATAAGTAATAGACAGTTTCAAATTGGGAATTGGAATAAATTCTCCCAGAAAATTCACCATTAGTTAATGCAATGACTTTCTTTTACTCACCTTTTAGTCCTCGCTACAACTTTACTTGTCTTCGCATCTTTTCTTCCTTTCTTTAGTAATCCCAGTAAATATGTGATCACACGACACGCGGTTCTAAACCGCATTTCTACCATTGGTAATGCTTTAAAAGTTTCAAATTTCAATGCTGGCAAATAATGTATATTTCACACGTGTATTTTCAACAAATATCAAGAAAAGAAATTTTACAATCATTCTCCAAAAAACACAGTCAATCACCAAAAGACTTGGTAAATCACCAAAAGACTCCGCAAAATATCTTATTTTCACAAATACACCATCTTCATCAGTATTCTCAAGCGACTTAATAATAAAAACAGTTTCCAACACTTCAGCAAAATTCAAATTTCCTTTCCTTATATAGAAAAGTTTTATCAAGTTTAGCTTTTTTAACTTAAAGACTTCTACGTCAATAATTAATTACACTCATTTCTCAATCTCAATTTATTTAATTCTGAATAAAAAAAAACCTGAAAAGTTATTTTCCAAGTGTTAAGCTGATCAAAGTATAGATCCATCTGAAATCATTTGAAAGCCTGACAAGCTACAAAATTAAGCAACAAGTTTATCTCAGAAAAAATCTGCTGTGTTAAGCAACAAATTGTAACAACTAAAGACAAAATTTTCGTAAAATAATTCTGTTATAAATAAAGATCAATCAGTCCTCTTGTTGCAAACCTATCAGAAAAATAACAACACACAGCTCCCCCTCGCACCCTTATTTACATAGTCCTGATCACAGAATTAATGGTAAACAGTCAACAAGACACATGTGTGAGTGTGTCCTTTAATAAATGTTCAATATCCCATAAATGTGAAGCAGATATTCAATATCAACAAGATATTCAAATCTATTAATACCAACACCAATGAATAACCAATCAAATGTCCTACAATTTATTCTCTTGCACTGTCATCTTTCTAAAAAATCTCATCAACTATGAGACATTGTGACATCATCAATATTTTTTCGATGCCAATGATAGGGACGACGTGCCAACTAATACAAAGAGCCCGCTATCAAAAAAAAATTAACGGAGAAGAAATTCCGCTACAGTTTGCAATCATTCAAACAAGTCTCTTGGCTAAGATATCTTTTAATTTCCGACGGAATCAACTTCTAAGACGTCATTTGACACATTGCTCTTTTATCCAAAAACGGGATATGCCAGAAGCTTTAAAATGGTTATACAATTTCATATTGCTTCCAAGAAGTATTAATATTATTATCATGATTATTATTATAACAGAAACACTACTTAAGACTTGGAATTATACAAATGTATATTCTTCATTGCCATGGTTGCATGAAGGTGACTGCTACATGCAAAAAATGCAACTTATGCTTGCTAAAATGAATTTTATTTCATGTTTGTCTTTAATAAACTTTTTAAATTTTAAATTATAAACATAGTAAATTTTCTATGTAAAATCAATTAGTTTTTTTGTGTTTGTCTTTAAAATTGTTAAAACTGTTGCATTCAAATCCAAGCCAACTGGAAGTATACAAATTGTACCATCTTTCAAGCTAGTCTGGTCATTTACTGAGGGCTTGGCAACCAGAATCTACCAATACTGTTTCCTAATAAATTTTGCGAGCATTTTTATTTAGCTATTTTAACATTTTACAAAACTGTAAATTGGTCTAAGAGGTTATTTGATGACTCCAGCTGTAATATTACGACCAGCTTTAATAGTGCAGAATTTTTCCGGTACAAGAATGCACAGTATTCAAATAGAAATTTCAAATTTTAAACGGAGGACTAATACCCCAAATACAAAAGAAATCCAACATCTGTAGCAGGTTTCAAACACGTAACAAAAAGTTCCAAATTTTTAAGCACTGTATTACACTTAAGGATAGAAACAGGCACTTAATGGGAAAATAAAGCTGTAAACAGTTACCAAATCGGAAAAAAGGCTGAAAACTGGGAGAAAAGGCTGAAAACTATCACTCAAAGGGAAAACTGGCTTAAAACTGGCACCTTAAAGGAAAAAAGGCTGAAAACCAGCGCCTAAAGGGGAAAAAAGGCTGAAAACCAGCACCTAAAGGTAAAAGTTTACAAATAATTACAATAACTCAAAAATTATTACCCTAACATAAAATGTATCAATATACATGTATATGTACATTTCAAGTTTACTTTGAATTCAGTTTTGTTTTGTTGTAACAAACAAATTTTTTCAAATTATTCAAAATAAAAAACAACATGTTTGCAGACTTTGTATCATTACGACAGAATTTTATTCATAATGACGTAGTTTTACGCAATACATAAAACTAATAAATTGAGAGTAAATACAGTCATATTTCACACAAACCAATGTCAACAGTAAACAACCCATTATTAATGTTTGATTCAATAAAAAATTGAGATTCCTTGTTATCATCATGGTTTATCAAACAGCAATTTATTTGCAAGACCCTAGAGGACGATATTTCTCGTAATTTACCCGCAAGTTCATCTAGTGAAGCATTTTGCAATCACTTTCACAATATTACAGTGACATAGTTTAATGACACTTAGCACGTATAATATGTTTTTCTATATGATGTAAACATCATGTAGATGCACAAACGCAGGCAACTTTCAATCTTTACTGGCAGGAAGACCTCTGACATGTGCCCGTCTGTGTGCTATTTCAGACACAAATGGGCACCTGAATAGAACCACAGATGTTCAGTAAGCTATAATATAGCTGGATGGTTTTCTCACATGAAAGAATCCAAGACACTTCCGTGGTGCAACCCTACAGTGATGAGAGTTTCAAATTTTCCAGATGTGACAGCTGGTTAAATTCAGTTGAGGCCAGTGGGATAATGGTAAAAATATTAAATCAATTTGTTTTTATGGAAGTAATAGCGTAAAAGGGACATGGGAATACGACAAATACTGCTCAACACAGTTTTGCAATCTTCAATACATTTGACGTGTAAAAGGGACATGGGAATACGCCAAATACTGCTCAACACAGTTTTGCAATCTTCAATACATTTAACATTCATATTTTCTTCTACTAATTTATATTGATTAGTTACGCTTTTATTTTATTTTGATCAAACATTTATTGTCGAGGTTGAAAAAAATCTGGAACCAGAATCTTGAGTTTCAATGAATGGCCAGCTGGTGGTGATAAGACTGGAAGGACTGGGGATCTTCCAACAGTATATTAAACATCATCTATAATTCAAGGTGACTATACTGTCACACAGTATCAACAAAAACACACATTGGCCTTCAACATACTAGCAGTCCTGCAAAATTCATAAAAACTGAAGAATCACCCAGCAAAACAGCCTTAACTGACTGTGATAAATCAAATTACTTAAAATCTAACAATAATCTGAAGCTCAAGCCAGGTGTATAGAAAATTGGAAACACATTTTCTTTTCCAAACAAATTAGTATATAATATGTCACTGAACATAAAATAATTTTTTCAAATTTTGTCAAATCTTTCTTCTTTTTCCGGATGACGTTAGCAAGTGGCAAGCTTAACGTCACGTTAAAAAGCTATTAAGGTAGATCTGTCAATCAACCGACCAATCAGAGGCCATAAAAACGCAGCAAATTAGGAAGAAGATGAGTTTTAGCCGCATCCATCAAGTGTAATAAGATGGTAGTTTGTACCACTATAGAGATACATTGCCACAAGCCAATTTACAGCAACGGTACATGCACACCATACTAATTAGGGAATATATCTGAATCTGTGATTCTGTGATATTTCCCTCATGGATTCAAACCATTCAACAAAATAATCTTTTGATGATCTAAATTAAAAGTTTGTTTTACTGGGAAACAGGAATGTGAAAGTTTCTCAAACACTTGATCAATATACAAAGTAAGCCAAAACATTATTACAATTGATGATTGCTGACTCAGCTAATTTCAACATGATGAAACTTATTTTTGTTCTTTTAGATAATGTTTCTTTTTTTTAAATTATTTTTCAAAATGGCTGATGCTGATTACTTGTCTTTAATTAATCAATTTTACACCAATATATTGTTTGTAAAAAGAGGACTTACATTGTTTTGAATTGAAAACTATCAGTACAGCTTGAAATGAGCTGCCATTATATTATTAAGTTTTGTCAGATAGCACTGATGTGCAGGCGGCCTTGGTCTATAATGGTGGCAAGACAAAGTTTAACAAGGGTTGTCCAAATAAGTCATGGGCAACAACGTTTAAATACAAAAATACTCAACATGCTTCTTAAAAAGTTTTACTGGTATTTAATAAGTCATTGCCGAGAGAACATCCAAAAATCATCACAGATCAAATTCTACGACTTCCTGGTAATGCAATGAGGCTCACTCTCCAACATCACAATTACGTTATTTGACATGATGTCAATGTTTCTACTTTTCAAAGTATCACCTCCACGTAAATTAGGAAACACTTTTAAATTCAAGCCATCTTCTCATACGATCAGACATACACAAATTGCCTTGAAATTTTTAGCAAAATTGTTCACGGTCTAAAATTTCTGAAACTGTTTGATGTTTGTCTAATCATAAATAATGTAATGTTTTTAACTTTCTGCACTGTTCAGGATCGCTTGACTCACAGCATCATGTTTTTGCTTTTATTTTAGTCACCTTTTACATATTTCATAAGGCACTTGTATGCCAATGTTCGCAAATAATTCTGGTACTTTTTCACAGTTTGAAACTATTTTAATATGACTGTAGGTGTCTATCAGCACTAAAAGCAGAAATGATAATAGCCTGCTGGGCCACGTCAGCTGAACGTTGCCATTGTTATTGTGCTTTTACGAGCACTGTATGAAGTAAAGCAAGCATATTATGTCTTTTTGTTTTTCCTTGAAATTTTGTCAAAAACTTCAAACATACAGTAAATATCAACAACATAACAACGGGCAGATTTTTGATGTCATCAACTTCTTACTCTGTTTAGACAATAATGTGTTAGGTCTGTAAAATGACGATTTATGGCGTGGGTCTTATACGCACAGGTAAGACCTGTATTCATTGTGTTATATTTAGGGTAAGTATACTTTCTAGAAATATTGTTTCTTATTTTACTTTAAATTGATGCAGATACAATAGTTCAAAATTATTTTTTCCTTCTTTTATACAGGCGCTATACTTTTGTTATAATGGGATTGTCAATGACTTTGTGGGGAA